GTGCCTGACAAACAAATGGTCAATACCCAATAAACATCATTTGAATAATGGATTCATTTAATAAACCTTTCAATACCTCTGTCTCTAGGAGTTAACAGTTTAAGGCATTCTGAAAGAGACTACTATCTTAAACCAAACCAATACAGTAGAATGCCCTATAGCACTGACATATGCGTAGGAATTATGTCAGATGCCCAGGTAGGATCTATGTAAAAGCCAATCTCATTTTGTTTTGGGGTTTTTTTGTATATTTATTTTTATTGGAGTTCAATTTTCCAACCTATAGGATAACACCCAGTCTCATTTTGAAAGCAAAGAACAAAGCCAATATCCGAGGCCAACCTTGGAACATAGCTGTTCTTCTAAAGCACCTGGACCACAAGACAACAAATTTTAGTTCCTCCCTTCTCCACCTCCTGTTTAAACCAGTTACAGCCAAGTTACAAATGTGGAATCCTCAGGAGTTGACAGAGTAAGAGCTAGTCAGAGAATGTCTAAGCCATTGTTCCTAGCCTCAGATGATGATGTAACAGTGGGGAAAGACCACCTCTAGCAAGGATGTTGAAACGAGTAGATCTTCCATAGCCATTTGGGCAGAGGATAGGAGAATAGCTCAATGCTCATACAGATAAGGATAAAAAAGTTCAGGCCATCATCCACTGTGACTTGAAAAGGCAACGAGTGACTGGACTTTGTGGCTCTGATATCATTCAATTAAAAATGAGAGTTGGGGATAGAAGGACAGATAGTTCATTTTCTTTTATGAAGGTTAGTGCCTATGCTCAGAGAGGTGTGTGGACTATGGCCTCTTATCAAATGGTACAGACATTGGCAGCCTCTTGATAATAGAATGGGCTCTAACCCCAGTCCTCCCAGAAAAGACCTGTTGTCAAGTACTTAGGACCATTCTTGATACCAAACACTCCTCACTTTTTATTGCCCTGACTATAGGAGTCTGGAAATTAGTTTCGTAGTGGAATGAAATGAAAGAGAAGAGAAGAGAAAAGAGAGAGGGGAGAGGGGAGAGGGGAGAGGGGAGAGGGGAGGGGAGGGGAGGGGAGGGGAGGGGAGGGGGAAGGAAGGAAGAAGAAAGAAAGGAAGAAGGAAGGAAGAAGGAAAGAAAGAAGAAGGAAAGAAGGAAAGAAGGAAAGAAGGAAAGAAGGAAAGAAGGAAAGAAGGAAAGAAGGAAAGAAGGAAAGAAGGAAAGAAGGAAAGAAGGAAAGAAGGAAAGAAGGAAAGAAGGAAAGAAGGAAAGAAGGAAAGAAGGAAAGAAGGAAAGAAGGAAAGAAGGAAAGAAAGAAAGAAAGAAAGAAAGAAAGAAAGAAAGAAAGAAAGAAGAAAAAAGAGAGGAGTTAAGAGAGAAAGGGAAAAGGGCTGGTGATGATCCCAATTGTGATTGACTAATTATTGCTCTATTACATGCTTTCCCTATTTTTAACCTGAGTTCTCCTTCACTTATTCAAGGTCTACTGTGTGCCACATCTTATGCTGTGCCTTAACAAGAAAGAAATGGTCCCGTCATGGAACTTATGATTCATCTGTCTCAGAGTAACTAATTCTTATTTTACTCAGTAACTATATACAACAATCAGTGCCCTTTATGGTTATGGGGATACAGCAGTAAATAGAACAAACAAGCTCCCTTCTCTGATCAGGAGAAGACAATGAACAGGTAAGATTTTTTGATAGTTAGGAAAGTTGGGAAAAAGTAATAAAAGAGGGATAAGAAGTGGATCATTATTTATGGTCAGCTGATCAGGTGGAGTACCTCTGGGAAAGAAAGTCTCACTTGAAACTGGGGTGGGTAAAGAAGCCAGTCAGCCAAGCAGGGTGTCACAGCGGCCTGATTTTCCCCACCTCAGGTTTTAAAAGGAGTCTGTCATGGAATGTTTTACAAGAGTACAATAGTTGGCCCAATTGGCCTTATTGGGTTCAATACCAACCAGCCCCCTCCTGGGGAGGAGTTGTGCCAGCATCACCTGGGAGATTGTGAGGAATGCACATTTTTAGCTCCAGTCCAGTCCTCCTTGATCAGAATCTGCATTTAACCTTGGACCTAGGTAATTCATATGTGTACTAAGACTTTGAGTATTCCTAAGCTAAGATCTAAAGCCATGTTGACCATGCCTGGTCTCTATCAGCCATTCCTTTGTTTCACATTTTATTGAACAAATTTGGGAAGCAGAGCAGGGCTGAGGGCTGCTGTTTCCTGGGGGCTCTCAAAACTTTCTGATTAATGAGCAAGCCCAAAGGCTGCTACATGGGCCAAACTGAATTATGAATAAAATCAACTAAAAGATGGCCAGCATGGCTGGAGTCTGGTGATGTAGGGAACATGATCTAGGATTAAGACAGAAAGATACGGTTAACATACAACATACATTGCCAGGCTAAGCCATCTAAATTTTATTCTTATTGAAATGAGTAGCCTATGCAGGTTTTCAAGCAAGGAAGTAGTATGACCTAATTTAAATTTTAAAGAGCTTATTCTGGATGCCATATAGAGAAGGGACCATAGTCAGCCAAGAATAGAAGTAGCCCATACAGTTAAGAGGCTCTGCAAGTCAAGGGACAAAAGGTTGGGGCTTGAACTAGCAAGGCAGCCACGGTACAATTAGAAGTGGTCATATTCTGGACATAATTTTGGGAAATTACTAATGGATGGAAATGAGGAAGAAGAGTTAAGAAATGGGAGTGAGGGGGTGTTGGAGGGGATCACAGTAGCCCTGAGCACCATGATGAGGCATGAGGGTGGACCCACTATCCTGGCCCTCTGGGCCCCCACCTACCATAGGCCACACAGTAACTCATTCTGATGATCTAGTAACAACCAGCAGCTGGGCTGATCCCAAGTACAAAGTAAGAGAATCCAAGAACCAACCACACAGCTTCTCAGTTGATACAGAAGCCCTGTACTCCCACTTCCTATTCTATTCCTCGTTACTGAATTCTAGAAGGCCCTCCCTCCTTCCTTGAAAAATACCAGAGCAATGGATTTCATGGAAATTAGTTATTTAAAAACAAAACAAACACTAATTCAAGAAAATACTTCAGGCACGTACAGACAAAGCCAAGTTTGAAAAGAAAAATCCTGAATATTTAAATTAACTGACTCTCTTACAGTTGATGTTTGGCACTAAGAAACAGATTGCACATTGCTAAACTTCTCAACACTTTAGGAGACAGTTGGCACCTAACTACTACGGCAAAACGAACTACGCTCACTCCTGGAACTCAACCTTTTATCCTCTAGAAAGGCCATTTTTAATGAGTTCCCTTCCAGCTTTACGCTGTGCTCATCCTTTTGAACTCGATCTTTATTCAAAAAGAATGTGCATTGTGAAAGCGGTGGCAGCCATTAAGAGGTCAGCAGTGATCATCTTTACATACAAGAAACAAAGCATTCCTCTCCCAAAGTCACTCTGCTGCTCTGAGGACTTATACCACCTTCACTATTCCCTGTAGACTAACACATTTATGACAATTCATTAGGATACAGATTCATTCTTTGCTTTCAAAAGTATTCTCTTCTCCCTTATGTGTTTTCCTGGTACTGGTAAAAACAGGCTTTCCAATCAGGCTCACCTTCTTCTTCCCTATCTATGGCCCAAACCCAAACATTTCTCCTCTTTTAGTTGCACTATTTTTATGTGTATTTTGTACCCAAATTCGGTAGAGGGTTGACAAAGAGCAAGGTAATATTCCAGGCAGTACCTTTTAAATAGAATTCTATTTTCAGGATCCAGGATGTGGAACAGTTGGTTTTGAATTTGTAACTTTGATACCAGCATGTCCCTCTTTAAATGAGCTTCTAAGGATGCCTCCTGGCCACCAAAGAAGGCTGGCTCAGCTCATTTCAGTACTGTGATAAAGGGATTGAGAATTTTATTCCCAAGGGGGCTAAGTCTTTTATCGTGTCCTAACACCAATTATTCTGCAAATTAGAATCACTGGTTACATAATGTGACATGTTGAAGGCATGTGGATGGACAGGAACAAATCCACCAGTACTTCTCCACCTACGTGTCTGTGGAATCATAGGCTAGCAGGGTCATCCTCAGGCTTGAAGACCATAAAAGATGTAATTATGAACATAAGTTCTAATCTCAGACTGCCTGGGTTCTTACTCTACCCTAACTAGCTATAAGAGTCTGAGAAAGTTCCTTGATCTCAGGCTCGCCATTTACCATATAGCAGTGCTTCCCAAATTATTCACCTGGGATTTTTTAATATGAGTTGTATTGGAATACAATATACATACCATAAAAGTCACCAATTTAAAATGTACAATTCAATAGTTTAATCTATTCATAGAGTTGTACATCCATTACCACAATCAATTCTAAGCCATTTTCATTGCCACTTAGGGATTTTTTTTTTTTTAAATCCCAAAGCCGAGGCTATGCCCCAGATCGATTAAATCTAAGTATCTGAGGCTAAGACTCCGGTATCAACCATTTGTTGCTCTCCCAAGGATTCCAAAATACAGATAAGCTGAGGCAGATGTGGTTCATTGAGTCATTGTCAGGATTATGTGGGAAAACAGAGACACAGATGGAAAAATGGGAGCTTCTCAGCACTGAGGCTGACCTATATATAATAAGCATTAAAGAGGTGGTGGGAGTGATCACAGTGAATAATAGAAAATGGAAAGGACTTGTCAAACAGTCACACCAAAACTTGTATCGTCTGGACTGCGATGGTGAATTTGAATGTGTAATACGTTTGACAGAAATGCATATCCACGGATGGCATATTCTCCAAGAGAACCTAACTTAGGAATGAGAATTTTGGAGGTGGGACAGAACCCACAAAGAGACAGGAGTTTACAACTTATCTATCACACTTTAAGTAATCACCAAGCTTCCCGGCCCTCTAAGAAGCTGCTGCTTTGGCTTCAGGACACCACTCAAGTCCTACCCCTCTGTGAAATCTTTTCCCACTGGATATACTCCTTTTCGTGTCTTAGCATTTTGCACACCACATAATACAGCACTTACCACCCTGCGCTGGGTTCATTTAGAAGTTAGTCTCCCTCACCAAGGGGCAAACACCTTACGGACAGCAACAATAACTAATACATTAGAAAAAAAAAATCATCTCCTGAGCATAGCATGTGTTTTGACGTGGAGTACATAAATGTTCGTTGGATTGAAGCATAACGAATTCTTATCAAACACTGCCAGCCCAGGAATGAAGAGTGCATTTGTTCCAAAGTTCTCCAAATACTTAGTGGCCATTGTCGCTCACAGAAGACTGGCAAGCAAGACCTGCAATTTTGCTCCATAAGGCACGTCCTGAGGAGCATTGCTTTGGGTACTTAAGAACTCCAGTGAATAAATGGCACAACCACAAGCTGTTATTAAGAACACTGAATTATGTATTACCAACACTGAGATCGAGGAAAAAAAAACTGTCATCGAGGGGAAAGAGATTAATATCAATTAATTTTCTTTTACAGTAGATTATGCATAAGTCTTTGGGCTTCTGAGGAAAATTTCGGAAAATTTTATAGCATGCAGGAATTTGCATATACTCCAGGAGCAAAAAGCAGGTCCCCAGATGGGTTAAGAGGGTTACAGTCAAGATGAAGAACAAAAGACAAAAGCATTTCTACAAGTGTAGAGTCATGGGGGTGGGAATAAATGGCAGGCAGGCTTTAGAGCGAACAGAAAAAGCTTACAGATTCAAAAGAAATAAAATTGTAATTACAATAGCACTTAGATGGTTACACAATAAGCAATACTACTAAGTACCCTCTCCGGAAAGAATGTTCTTCGAAAACTCAAAAGCAGATAGTTAACAAAAGCCACCAGGTAAAGTCTATGGGAGGAAAGATTCCTTTTCGTTAGTATCTTCCTTCAAGTGCAAGATAATAATGTTTGATTTGTGGCATGGAATTGAATCCAAGAGAGTCACCATATAGTAAACTTGGGCAAATCATCCCTCTGGCCTTTACTTTCCATTTCTAAAATGAAGCCTTGGATCAAGATAGTGCTTCCCCAAGTTTGTTCTGGAAGATTTAACAAGCATTACTTGAAGAAAATGTTTCATGTTCAAACAGATTTGGGAAAGGATTGGATAATCCAACTACACAGGTTTCTTCCTTTCAGGGCTTGGCAGAAGGTTATCTGTTAATGCTAGTTCTACGAGGGGACGATCTGTAACATTGATCTGTAACAATGATCTGTAACATTTCCCCAACTCAAAATGCTTCTGTGGCAGACCTTATCAAGGGAGTAGAATTTACTGAGCTCACATTAGAAAATTCTTGACTGTAAAGAGCTTGCAGCTCCTCTTCTGGGTTAAAAGTCTAGGAACTCCAAATTATTGTCACTTGAAACCAACACAAGATAACGAACAATAGCCAACTAAGGTAACAATTAGCATTTGGGCAGAAATTAGATACAAAACCTTCTATTCCAAAGCAGTACCAGGAAGGGGTAACTGGTATTCTTCTCTGTATATATAGAATTCCTTTATTTTATTTTAATTACTCTAAGCTGTGCATCAGTGGGCTAGATTTATGTTGTATTTAATATTTATTCTATTTATCAAATATATCCATCATATCCTAGCTTCTAGGCATGTTTACAAATAACACAGGAAGAAAAACAGTTTGTTGACTCCAGTCAACATTTTCCAGAAAATCTCCCTCCCAGTCCCTCTCCTTCTATATCCAATTGTGAGGTCCAGCAGTATTCTGTGTTAGTCACGCACTGTGGTCTCTCTTCCTGCCCCTGCCCAACTCCTACCATCCAGAATCCTAGAGCATATAAAACCAAATACATGATCTATTTGAAAAAAGGACAGAAGCCTGTAAAAGGGAGAGCCAGATTCACCACACCATTTCTTTTGACCTGTCAAAACTCCTTTCAATTTCTTAAATGAAATCTTTTTTTAAAAAGTCCTTTCAATAACCTCATTAAAAAAAAAAAAGAGCTTAATGCTGGCTGAAAAAACAACATCATAAAAAGGAGAAAAATAATGTAAAAAGAGATAGTAGGAGCAGAGGTCTGAGATCAGGTGGGCAGTAACCAGGGAAGTTACTTCACCACCACCACCAATTTGCTTGACGTGTAACTTTTTTTTTTTTTTCATTCTCTTGGCATCCCCGCTAGGTAGCTCCTACTGTTCCTATTATTTGGCTGATAAAACTGAGGCTCAAACAAGTGAAATAATTTGCCCAAGTTGCCAGACCTAAGACCTCCACTCAGGTCCTCCCAAGGCCAAACTACAAGCTCTTCCCAGAACTGCTATTTTTATGCCAGAAAATGTGGACTAGGGAGGTGTAGTCACTCTCTTAATTGCACAGAGCTTACAGGTGGCAGCACTCGATGGACTCAGATCCTAAGGCTACCACAATGTGCTGCCCAGAATCATGACCATTTCCCTCAGACACTTTCCTTCCCCCACAAAAGTGTCTATCTCCTTCTGGATTTGAATTTCTATGAAAAACCAGATACTTGCCAATAAATGTCCCAGCCAAAGCCTGGCCCATCTGCATTTCTTTTGCCCACCTCAGATCCCAAATTAAACATCCACAATAAGGAATGCCTGGGTGGCTCAGTGATTGAGTGTCTGCCTTTGGCTCAGGTCGTGATCTCAGGGTCCTGGAATCAAGTCCCACATTAGGCTCCCTGCGGGGAACCTGCTCCTCCTTCTGCCTATGTCTGTGCCTCTTTCTGTGTGTCTCTCATGAATAAATAAGTAAAATCTTTAAAATAAATATCCACAACGAGAACAGGATGGAAAAGCCAGAATGCTGCAAAAATCTGACTAAAAGGCTTGTACCCCTCCCACCACCCTCCAGTATGGATTTTGTTCCCTAGAAATCTGTACCCACTCTTACTAAGCCATGGTCTGACCTGCAGGATCTAGAGCAGCTCCAGGAAGCAAGAGAAAATGCAACACACAGCTCTCTCCGAGCTTTCCGGAACAGGAAGGAAAGGGCAGCTGCTCTCAGTTAAAGGCTGGAGGGAGTGAGGGCTCAAACAGGGATCATCATCTGGATTCTGACCTTTCTCCCACTAAACTGAAGATTCTCCCTTGGTGATGATTCATTGTGTCTTCATTTACATTGTGCACACTTTTCACATTACATTGTGCACACTTCTACGTCCCAATTAAAAACGATCCCAGTAGCTGGGAGGGCGAGAAAGGGCATGGAGTCTGGGAGCTTCCAAGACTTCCGAGCCTCTCTGTTTCTCCTGCCTTTCTGCTTTCTCACTTTCTGCCTTTCCTTGAAGAGCAACAAAGGAAGCAACTCCAGCAAAGCCACATAAGTCTGAGATTTAGCTCTCAAATTCGTCAGTTGCAACCTTGTAGCTCCTTTTCCATCTGTGCTTTTTACCTTAGCTTTTTTTTAAACTATAATTCTTCCTATTGATTTTAAGCATAGCTCAGAGTAACACTAACCAGTGCTACATTAGCTCAAAACCAAACCAGCTGACCTTATCTGGTAACGGGGCACAGCTGAAGAAGGCACGAAGCTCTCAAGAAAGCATCAGCCACAGATGAAAACAAGGCATTGTGGAACTCGTGTATGAGTTCTGTATGTCCCTTCTAAACCTTTGAGAATCACAGCCTGGGAATGGAAGCAACTGCAAGGTTGTGAAGAATCCATCCTTGGACAGCAGTCCCAACCTTGACTACACCATGGACCCATTGATCACTTTAGAACAAAACAGTTACTTAAATGTGCAGCCCTGGACATGCCTTGTTACTGAGTTAAAAACAAAGCTCCATCAGTTGACCTAGGGAGCACCCATTGCTCACCCCATTTCATTCCTTCCACCTGCCAGGGCAAGAAAAATCAAGGAAGACATGCCAGTCCACACCTGCCTCCTCCCTCCTGAGAGAATGAGCTGCTGCTTCCTCTGTTTTATCATGACTCTCTTCATTCTGGGTCCCCCTTCCTTATGTACTTGTCTCTCCATCTGGCTGTGACCTTCTTCAACTTAGGAACAGTACTGTCTCATCTTGACAGCCCCAAGAATAGAGATGATAAGCAAAAGTGTTTGATGGGGTGAAGAATGAATGAATGGACAATTTTTTTTTTTTTAAATTTAGTCTCCAGGGATCCCTGGGTGGCACAGCGGTTTGGCACCTGCCTTTGGCCCAGGGTGCGATCCTGGAGATCTGGGATCGAATCCCACGTCGGGCTCCCAGTGCATGGAGCCTGCTTCTCCCTCTGCCTGTGTCTCTGCCTCTCTCTCTCTCTCTCTCTCTCTCTCTCTCTCTCTCTGTGACTATCATAAATAAATAAATAAATAAAAATTAAATTTAGTCTCCAAAAAAATTACCTTCCAGGAGGGAAGTCAAGACATACAGTAAAATATGTGAGATAAAACAGTAAGTGATAATGATCAGAATAAGCAGCACAGGAGGAAGGGACCTCTGACAGGGAAGAGAAAGTTCTACTGGAAGGAAATAATGTCTATTTTCAAGGCCTGCAAAGATCCAGATGCCCAGAGACCTTCAACACCAAACAAGAGATTCTATTTTTTAGTCTAAATGTTAGAGACAGGCATACAAGGAATATGAATCTGGTGGGCAAGGTGGACTGGAACTCCTGTCAGGGAGAGCCCACCATTTGGAGAAACTCGTTAACATAGTAGCAGAGGAAACCCTAACCAGTTACCTGTTTTAACCAAACACTATTTGTATTTGAAAGGATAGAAGAGTTAATACCATTGCACAAACAAGAATTAATATTCACAGAGAACAAATGGCATCAGAGACAGAATTCATGGGTCAGATAGGAACTCCCAAGTATAAACCCTAATTCAAATTCTCTGAGAGCTTCTAGAACATTCTGCACCTACAAGTTAAGAAGAGGTTGTTTATCCAACAAGAAATAGATTCATCCCTGATGGCTACGTAGAGTCTTGATTCAAGATGTGGGCAATGTTAAACAATCAAACAAACAAATGGACGATGAATGGTGGGGCACCAGAGATTAGCAATAAGGAGCCATTAACGCCTACTGCTCAAGGCACCTGGAGAGGAATCTTGTTATTCAGGACCGGTTACTACTACTCTGGAAGCCAAGTGGTCCAGAGGGAGCTGCAA